TCCACGACGCTATAGAGCACAACCGCGGCATGGCACATCGCAATTCAGCACGGTGCAGCACAGCACAGCCCTCGGCAGGGTACATCAAGATCGATACACTTAGCATTGCAACTTGGCACGTTTCTTGGCACGTTCCGTGGGGCGTCCCTTGGCGAGTCCCCCTGGCACGTCGCGTGGCGCGTCCCCTGGCACATTCCGTGGCACATCCAGTGGCACGTTCCGTAGCGCGTCCCTTTGGCACGTCCTACGGTGCGACCCCATGGCACGTCCCCTGGCACGTCGCCTGGCGCATCCCTTGGGACGTTTCGCGGCGCGTTCTCCTGGCATGTTCCCCTGTCCATTAGCTCTGGGGCAGCTACTATGTGTTCAGGCAGCTCGAGCTTAAGATCCAGATCAGTTCGGTCAGGACTCGGATGCAAAGGAGGACTCGATCCACGACGCTATAGAGCACAGTCGCGCCATGGCACATCGCAATTCAGCACGGCGCAGCACAGCACAGCCCTCGTCAGGGTACATCAAGATCGATACACTCAGCATTGCATTTGCCCGTCACCCAATCAGGTGCCTTTGAAAACGCTGCCATGTGTTACAGTTCTATATTCCTTTCCGGGTTCGTGGGTCGATCATGTTCAGAAGTATTTGTTTCTTCTTCAGAAGTACTTCGATTCCTTAGGATTCCTTATGATTATCTGGGCTTCCTTAAGATTCCTTAGGAACCCTTAAGATTCCTTAGGATCCCTTAGGATCCTTAGGATTCATTCGGACCCTTAGGATTCTTCAGGATCCTTCGGAATTCCTCCGGATTCCTCCGGAATCCTTCAGGCATCCTTAGGAATCTTCACGAATCCATAGGTATTTTGAGAAATCTTTAGGCCGACGGGGAAATCTTTAGGCCGACGGAACTAATTTTGGTGTGGGCCCCTCTTATTTTTTTTCTTCCTCCTCCTCCTCCCCCTCCTCCTCCTCCTCCTCCTCCCCCCCTCCTCCTCCTTCTTCTCCTCCTCCTCCTCCTCCTCCTCCTCCTCATCATCATCACCCTTTCACTACCAATGGGATTAACATTAAGACGACGACGACGACGACGACGACGACTATTATTATTATCATTATTATTATTACTACTACTACTACTACTACTACTACTACTATTACTATAACTACTACTACCACTACTGCTACTACTACCACTACTACCACTACTACTACTACTACTACTACTACTACTACTACTACTACTACTACTACCACGACTACTACTACTACTACTACTTCTACTACTTCTACTACTTCTACTACTACCACTACTACTACTACTACTACTACTACTACTACTACTACCACTACTCTAACTAACAACTGACTAACTAACTAACTGCCTAAGTAACTAACTAACTAACTAGTACTAATACTATTACTACTACGACTACCACTTCCGATTACGACTACGACTACTACTACTACTACTACTACTACTACTACTACGACTACTACTACTACTACTACTACTACTACTACTACTACTACTACTACTACTAATACTACTACTACTACTACTACTACTACTACTACTACTACTACTACTACTACTACTACTACTACTACTACTACTACTACTACTACTACTACTACTACTACTACTACTACTACTACTACTACTTCTACTACTACTACCACTATTACGGGTACGATCATTACAACTACGACTACGACTACGACTACTTCTATTACGACTACTACTACCACCCGTACTAGTATTATTATTTCTATTACTATTATCCGTAAGGGCTTCGCCCCTTGCCGCCGGCCCCCTCTCTCGGAGAATGGGACATGGAAGAGCTAAGTCATGAGGCCTTGGCGCTGTCGTGAAGCAGCATCGAAGCTTCATGCGAAGCCGATTCGCAATCAGCAAAACCAACTGATCACAAGAGGGGTTACCACACCTGGCGATTGGTAAGACGTGTATGGTTTACGGGCTTGGTTACCACACCTTGCGATTAAAGGGCCGAGGGAGTTCTCGCAGTTTGGGTTACCACGCCTTGCGATGGATGTGCGTGAAGGGTGGCACCGAATTTCAGAAATGTGGCAAATCCCATGTGTTTTTGGACCCTGACCCCGCGGATCTGCGTGAGGGGTGGCACCGAATTTCAGAAATGTGGCAAATCCCTGTGTTTTTGGACCCTGACCCCGCGGATCTGCGTGAGGGGTGGCACCGAATTTCAGAAATGTGGCAAATCCCCTGTGTTTTTGGACCCTGACCCCGCGGATCTGCGTGAGGGGTGGCACCGAATTTCAGAAATGTGGCAAATCCCATGTGTTTTTGGACCCTGACCCCGCGGATCTGCGTGAAATTTCAGAAATGTGGCAAATCCCTGTGTTTTTGGACCCTGACCCCGCGGATCTGCGTGAGGGGTGGCACCGAATTTCAGAAATGTGGCAAATCCCATGTGTTTTTGGACCCTGACCCCGCGGATCTGCGTGAGGGGTGGCACCGAATTTCCAAATGTGTTTTTGGACCCTGACCCCGCGGATCTGCGTGAGGGGTGTCGATTTCGAGCTCCCCCAGCAATTCAGACAACGCGCCCAGGGGGTGCTAAATTCTTTACGCTTCGCGTATCCCCACCAGCCCATCTCAAAACAGCAACTCTTGCGAAGCATGCCGACAGTCGTGTTTTTCAGGCGTGTTTCCGCTTGCCCCCGCATATCCCCCCTGTTCCTCCTTCCTCCCGTCTCCTTGTACATCCTCCTTGTGGTGGGAGCGGGAGAAGGACGAGGCGGAGGAGGAGGGAGAGAAAGCGCTCCTCGTGGTTTGAGTAGTTTGGGGTTTCTTGTCCTGGTGTGAGTCGTTCGGGCCCTTCTTCCTGGTGTGAATCGTTCGGGCTCTTCGTGATGTGAGTCGTTCGGGCTCTTCGTCCTGGTGTGAGTCGTTCGGGCTTCTCGTGGTGTGAGTTGTTCGGGCCCCTCGTCGTCGTGTGAGTCGTTCGGGCCCCTCCTCCTGGTGTGACTCGTTCGGGCTCCTCATGGTGTGAGTCGTTCGGGGCCCTCGTCGTGGTGTGAGTCGTTTTGGGAGCCTCTTGGAGGCCTTTTGGGGCGTCTTCGGGGCCTCTTGGCGGCCCCAGGGGCTTCTAGGAGCGTTTGGGGTGCCTTGGGGGAGCCTCTTGGGGCCTCTTGGGAGCCTCTTGGAGGCGGTTTGGGGCGTCTTGGGGGCCTCTTGGCGGCTCCAGGGGCTTCCAGGAGCGTCTTGGGTGCCTCGGGGGAGCCTCTTGGGGCCTCTTGGGGGCCTCTTGGGAGCATCTTGGGGGCCTCTTGGAGGCCTCTTGGGGGCTCTTGGAGGCCTCTTGGAGGCCTCTTGGAGGGGTCTGGGAGGAATCTTGGGGCCATCTGTCGGGCGATCGATCACAGATGGGGGGAGCACTTTTCTCCCTCCCCCCGTCGGGGCCAGAATCCTCGTGAGGGGTGTCGTTTTTTAGCCCTCCGAGGAGTCGAAAAAGACCCCTCCGGCGACCCGCGGAGGGACCTCTCCAGGCCCAGGGGGAGGGGGTAGGGGGAGGGGTAAACCCCTCCCCGAAGGGGAAGAAGGGGGGTTGAGAACAGAGCGGGCTCTCTAAACCACTCACGCCCAAAGGGCTGGTGGGATTTCCCGTTTGGGCCTCCCCCCCTCGCGCGGTCAATCAACTAGTTACAGTAACCAGCAATAAGTCAACTAGTTACAGTAACCAGCAAGAAGCAGAATTGTAACACTGGAAACTACAACCTACGACTGGTACAGGAAACTGCGAATCACGGGCCTACAGCCTGGTGGCCCCACAAGGGGGCCGGCGGATTATTGCTACTACGATCACTACTACGACTATTACTGCCATTATTATTGTTACGACTACGACTACGACTACGACTACTACGGCTACGACTACTACGGCTACGACTGCTACGACTACTACTACGACTACTACTACGACTACTACTACTACTACTACTACTACTACTACTACTACTACTACGACTACTACTGCTACTACTACTACTACTACTACTACTACTACTACTACGACTACTATTACTACTAGTACTACTTCTTCTTCTACTAGGAGCCATTTTGCATATTTTAAAATCGATGCGATTCGGTGCGGTTTTGCTCACAGTTCGGTGCCCTTGTGCTCATCTTAACATAGTGCTCGTGCGCAGACCAAACTGAGACCAAGTCCAACTCTGGCACGTATGTTGGCTTCCAGAACCTCTGCGTTGACATAGGAGGTGTCACTTGGTCCTCACAGTCGTCTTGGGTTTCTCTACACTTAAAACCTTATCGTGACGCTATCCCAAGCAGGTTGGGATTGGGCCCAGTTTGCTTTTCGCACTGGTTGGAATTGGTCCCAGTTGGTTGGGATTGGGCCCAGTTGGTTGGGATTCGGCCCACATGCGGTTCCCACCCCCCCCCTTGGGGAGATCCAGCGGCGCGCCCTCAGAGATAAGGGCAAGGGACACAGACTTAATCGAATGAGAAAGGACGGAAAACGAATGACATGCAATACCTGCGGGAGTGACAAACATTTCCAAGCGCAGTGTTCCAAAGGAGGTGGGAAGGGGGACGGGCCCGTATTTTTGGCTCAGACCACTCCGAAACGGATATCATCGAATACGTTGACCACCCTTTTGCCTCTCAAACCAGTCCGCAGTGGTTTGTGATGGCCCACTTTGCCAACGTCGCCATGTCTGTAGAGCGGTACACGGAGTGCCTCCACGACGGGGTCCCCCATTGAGGATTGGGCCAGTACGCGTTGGCACGGACACCCCCATCGAGGATTGGGCCGGTACGCGCTGACACGGACACGTGCAGGAAAAATCAGAATATAACGACGAGGACGATTGCATGTCAGATGCGGAGACCATACCTGCCGCTGAAGCTGAAATAGCCGAACAGCTCGGACACGAGCAGAACCGCCCACACCCGCTCCCAGCCCCGACAGTATTGGGACTCACGGAGGAGGAGCGGGCTGCGGTAGGTTGGGGCCAGACCTACACCAACCCATTCATGATGTGGGGTAAGTCTGGCAAGCCCGGCAAGGCCCCAATCGGCTCTGGCGAACCTTATAAAAGGCTACAAAAGAAACGGTCGCCGGGGCCGCAGCTCTACGGTCCGCCACGCAGCAGGCGGTTCAGGCAAGGCTGGAAAATACAGCCCAGACACGGGCGGCCCTGGCCGTGGACGCAGACTCGAGCTGCTGGCCATTCCAAGGGCAAAGGCTACGGCCGTCTATTTATAATCCGCCCTTCTATCCCATGGCTTCTCTTTTACCCTTCGTCATGCCTGCCATCAAGGGAGGAGTTGTGGGATATTTAGATACGTCGCCGACGTTATCCTGATGGTCGAGCCTTGTACCCATACTTCTCACTACGTGGTGTAATCTTCGGGATCGTGGCCTCGGGAGCGTGGATATTGTATATTTCACGAGGGATCGTGGCTTCGGGGACGCGAACGCAATTTAATGCAGGAGGGAATATTGCGTCGGGAACGCGAATCTGATGTATTTTTACATGTCTCACGGCCCCCGAGAAATTCTGCGGATGTGATTCGGGGACGCTAGCCAGGGTCTTTTTCGGTTCCCACCCCTCGCGCGGACAGCAACAATTTACAGCATGAAGCAAAAACAATATTGTAACATTGGACGCGGGAAAGTGGAACTGGCGCAGGGAGCAGCAAACCTAAGCCTCGCAGCCTGATGGCCCCGCAAAACGGGCCAGCGGATAGACATTCTGGGATTCGGGGAATTGGGGTCTTACGGGGTTGTGGTCTCACGGTTTTCTGGCACTGCAGCTTTAGAGTCTGAGGATATCATGGTATTATGGTTTGATTCGTTTGTGTTAGAGTTCGGGTTAGGGCTAGGTTGTGAAGGTGCTAGGGCCCGGGCGTCAGAGTTAAGCTGCGGTATTCGGGTTCGGGTGTTAATACGATGGGGGCGTTGGTTAAGCAATGCGCCCAAGATGCTGCAGACTTTGGAGGATTCCTTATCTGATGATGGCGGCGGCGATATCCATGGCCAATCCACGATCGAAGTTCCACTGGTTTCCAGACCTTCGATTACTTCCCGAAGGTTTCCTTATCGAATGCCCACCAGATTAGGGTGTTATGGTTAGAGTTAGGGCGTTAGGATTCGAGGGTCAGGATTTGGGTGCGAGGTCTAAGGTGGTAGGGGTTAGGGGGTCAGGGTCAGGGTGTCGGGGTTCTGTTCAGGGCGTGTGGGTCGGGGTGCGTGGTGCAGGGTTAGGGCGTGAGTGTTAGGTTTCGTATGTTATGGTGAGGTATTAGGGTGGAAGTGTCAGGATGTCCGGGTTTGGCAGTTACCGCTGGCGTTCGGGTTACGGACAGGGTAGTGGGGTTCGGGTGTTGGGGTTCGGTTGGCGTTTATGGTTGTTGTGATAGGGTTTGGGTTATGGTGTTAGTGTTAAGTTGTTAGTGCCGTCGTCGTTGCCTTCCTGTTCCCGCCCTTCGTCGTCGTCGCTTTCTCTTCGTCCTCGTCGTCGCTGCCGCCGTCGCCTTTGCCGTCGCCGTCGCAGGCGGCGCCGCCGAACGTCGTTAATTGGGTATGGTGCCGCCGCTTCAGCGACAGACGCCTCTCTGATTGGGAATGGTGCTCTCGCCCCAGCGTTCGCAACAGGTACACGCTGTAACGTTTGTGGAAGGGGGGAGGTTCCCCCTTGTGCCCGGGGTGGGAGAGAGAGAGAGAGAGAGAGAGAGAGAGGGGCTCCCCCTTGCGCGCGGGACGGGGGGCAGAGCTTGGAACGCCAGGGGAGAGGGTTCCCTTTCGCGCGCGGGACGGGGGGCGGAGCTTGGAGTGCCATCTGCGAAAACAAGTTTTTGCCTTGAGACCGAGTTTTTGTTTTTCTTGAGCTTATGCCGCACCGCCGACCCCTTCGGGGACTCGTGGTAAGTCTCTCAGGGGCCTCCTGGCAGCACGTTTGAGGCCTTTTGGGAGCCGTTTTCTTGGAGCCTCTTTTGTGCCTTTGGTGGGCCTTTCGGAGCCTCTTGGATGCTTCTTGGGGGACCTCTTGGGGCCTCCTGGAGGCTCCTTGGGGCCGAGGGCTCGAAGTTTCCGTTCGGGTCCCCCGCCTGGGCCCCCTCCTGGAGCCGTCTTAGCGGCCTCCTGGGCCGTCTTGGAGCCTTCTTGGGGGCTTCCTGGGCCGTCTTGGGGCGATCTTGGAGGCCTCTTGGGCCGTCTTGGACGTTGTGAAAGCCCTAGAGGCGACTGCGTTAAAATCGCACGTTTCCCTGAGGGAATGGGACGTTTTTTGCTCTGGGGGGCCCTCTTGGGACGCCTCTTGGGGGCCTCTCTGGGCGTATCGGGTGCCTCTTGGGCCGTCTGGGTGCCATCTTGGGCGTCTTGGAACGACCCATCGGCGACTCGGGGCCCTCCTGGATCCTCTTGTGGGCCTCTTGGGGCCGAGGCCCGTGGCGCGTTCGCCCGGGGACGGGGCCGGAGCTCGCCCCCCCCTCCAAACCGACCGAACCGGGCCTTGGGGGGAGGGGTTTGGGGGGCAGGAAGCATCTCACACGCCGATGGCACCAAGGGGTCAGCGGATGACGGGAAGCGCCTTCTCGGAGCGAGAAGGTGATGGGAGTTTTCTAGCATCTCTAAGTGAGGTATAAATGAGGAACAAACTCGCGAGGGACAACTGGCTCCCGATTGTAAATGTTGATACGTTGGCGGATGACGGGAAAACGGCCGTTTCGCTCGAGACATCCTCAAAAATCGCATCCAGAGGGGACTCCGAACTAGCATTATCTCGGAGTCGCTACCGGAGGGCTTCAAAAGTGCCCCAGAGAGCCCCCGAAGGCCCACCAGGGGACCCCCAAAGCGCCCCAAGAGACCCCTAAGAAGCTCCCAAGAGGCGCCCACACGCCTCCAAGAGCGCACGAAGAGGCCCCGAGACTGCCCAAGAGCGCTCTAGGAGCCACCCAGACAGCTCACAAGAACCCCAAGACGCCCCGAGAATGGCCAAGAAGGCCCCAAGAGACTCCCGGGAGCGCCCCAGGAGGCCCCCAAACGGCCCAAGAAAGTCGTAAGACGGCCTAAGATGGCGCCGAGACGGCCTAGGAAAGCTCCCACAGAACCCCACGACGCGCCCACACAGCCCAAGAAGACCCCAGAAGCCCATAAGAGGTCCCAAGAAGCCCCCAACAGGCCTCAAGACAACCCCGCGCGACGCCAGGAGCAACGTCTTTCTCCAATTGCCTCTTATTGTCCTCTGTCGTCGTCGTCGTCGTCGTCGTCGTCGTCGTCGTCGTCGTCGTCGTCGTCATCGCCCTCCGCATTCCTCCTCGTACTCGCCCTCGTTCTCTTCGTCCTCGTCCTTGTGCTTCTCTTCCTCCTCGTTGTCCTCATGCTCCTCCTCGCTATCCTCACGTTCGCCACGTCGTCCTCGTCATCGACTCCTCCTTGGCCTCGCCTTCCTTTTCTTCTTCGCCCAATACGCCCATTAGACTAGAGCGGCGCTTCCCGTTCTTGTCCGATCAGGTTCCGCTCAAAATGGCCGTTTCGCCCGAGACACCCTCGAAAAAGTGAGATGTTGAAGTCGTGTGGTTGAGACGTTGTTTGTTAAACTTGAGGCTCTCGCTCGATACATCCTCGGAAAACGAGCTACTGAGCTCGCTCGCGAAATTGAGCGAATCGTTGGAAATTATCTTTCGCCCGAGACCTCCTCGAAAACGTTAGATGTGGAAGCTGTTTGATTAAGACGTGTTTCGGGCTCTCGCTAGAGACATCCTCGGAAAACGGCATTCGCACCATCTGAGCTCGAGGTCCTGTCTGGTCCTTCTCTTCCGTCTTCTCCGCCTCTGAGGTCTCCTCCGTCTCTGGGGTCTCCTCCTTCTTTGAGGTATCTTCCATCTCTCCTCCGCCTCCTCCGTCTCCTTCTTCATCCTCCTCCTTCTCCTCTTCCCTCTCCTTTTCTTCCTTCTCCTCCTCCTCCTCCTCCTCCTCCTCCTCCTCCTCCTCCTCCTCCTCCTCCTCCTCCTCCTCCTCATTCTCTTCTTCCTTCATCGCGCACGCACGCCGTACATCCCCCCGCTCGTCGCCCCCATAGCACTTCCCGCACGCACGCCGTACATTCCCCCCGCCCGTCGCCCCCATAACACATCCCGCACGCACGCCGTACATCCCCCCGTCCGTCGCCGCCATAACATAACCCTGCACACACGCGCGCACACACGCAAACAGCCGCTCACACAAGCACATACACAGGCACGCGTACATACACGCACGCTCGCACCAGAGTAAACACAGCAACCACAGGCAACCACTAAGCTCGGAGAAGCAACCACAAATCCCGCCCTCCGCGCGCGACGCGAGTTCTGGCGAACTCTCTGTGGGGGAGGTGCTTGGGGCCCCATCTCCCCAGCGCAATCCCTGGCTGATCGTCTGGGGGGGGGCTCGCGCGGCAGCGGCAGCAGCAGCAGATCAGGAGTGGCAGGAGGAAAAGAGGCAGATGACGACGAAGAGGGGAAGGAGGAGGAGGAGGAGGAGGAGGAGAAGGAGGTGGAGGAAGGAGAGGAAGAGGAGGAGGAGAAGGATGGGGAGTAGGCAAGGCCAGCGCGGCAGACCAGCACGGCAGACCAGCGCGGCACGCCAGCGAGGAGTTGTTTGGTGTGCTGAATATATAATATACCCGGCGACGGGGTTCCCCGGCCCGGGGGCGGCCCACTTTTCCAAAACTCCCCCCCCCCCCGGGTACCCACTGTGTCCCTGGGGGTCTGGGACCCATTGGGAGCTTTTGGGGTCGCTTTCAGGGGGGCTCTCAGAACCCGAAGGCGCTCCCCAGACGGTCCAAGAAGGTTCCGGCACGGTCCAAAAGTATTCCATAGCGTCCGCGCTGGCTTCAAGACAGCCCAAGACGGCCCAAGAGCGCTCCAAGACGGCCCAAGAAGCCCCCAAGACGCCCCAAGAGGCCACCCAAGAGAGCCACAAGAAGCAAAAATCGTCCCATTCCTTTCGGAAAACATATATTTTTAGCATATTCGCCTCTTGCGTGTTCACAACGTCCACGACGGCCCAAGAAGCTCCCAAGACGGCCCAGGAGGCCCCCAGGAGGGTTCCAAGACG